GATAATGCTGACAGATTCAAGCTTGAGCCTCTTCACCCAGAATAGGGCGCCATATGAGAAAAACTTTGTATTCCTAGCTCATTACAGTGCCTAACTTCTTACTTTGCAGGTGCTCCTTCAGGAATCTGATTGTTCATAGGGCTCCAGACCATGCCATGATAATGGGACAACAACATTGGGGGATGGGTGGTTTGGAAAGTCTAGCATAGGGCGAAGGGGAATGGAGGGATCTACCTCAGACTAGTTATTGAAAAACAGTCTGTAATTCCTATTCAATTTTTCCCCTTCGTCCCCCGTTTCTCCTTTCCAATCTATCCTTTCAATCTTTCCCCCTTTGTCCCCCCCGAGCCAGTCACTGCTGAATGATTTGATTGCTTTGAGGATGTCTGCTTTTGAGGAGATGTGTTGTAATTTGTCTTTTAGCTTTTCCCACTGCACCAGGATGTCATTCTGCACTTGTTGTTTGATGATGTAAGTAAATTCTGGGTCATCGAGTCTAACCTCTTCCCATTCATTGGTGCATCTTCTTTGCCAGATTGCCCAGAGGATTGCTCTTCTTCCCAGTGTGAATAGATTCTGAGTAAAATTGATCCGGGGACCAGACTTCTAGCAAAATTATTTTCCAGCCCCATGGCCAAGGATGAGATGTTTCCAGCTGTCCCCAGATGCGGTCCCACCATCTCCATAACCAAATGGAACCTGGGCATGCTAGGAAAATGTGTTCAATAGTCTTCAGGATCTTCCTACTGGGGAAGGATGATTTGCAGAGTTTACATCAAGGTCTAGCCAACCCTTTCTTTTCCAGAGAGGACCTACTTATCAACCAATCGTTAGTGGGGAGGCATCGATGTTTTATTTGCCACTGCAGCGAGGCAATCTTAGAAGGCTTTGATTTTATGTTCTTAAACCAGCAAACTAATCTCAGGTCATCCTTACTTATATTTAATTGCTGCATCCATCTCGTTACCACTCTGTCTTTTAGGTTAATTGCGGGTCTGAACATTCGATAGGTCGATTTGACTGATAGGGAGTACAACGATCGAGTGATGTTTCTTCCTTTCTTGTTGTTTGCATTCCATGTCCAGCCTGCTGGGTCTAATGGGAGATCCGAGATATCGAACGTTGGTCTAAAGGCCAACCAAGATGAGGAATATCTTTGGAGAACCCTAATTCTGAAAATTTGGTCTTTTGGAATCCATTCTGTCGTATTTTCAGGGAGGTGGGTTACTGAATTGTCCTCCTTTAAGAAAAATATACATGTGAGAGCTAATGAATCCTGGGCTGGAGGGATAAGGATATTTCCCAGTATATGGGGTTTGTTCCGTATACCCACCCGATCGCTTTCCTGCAATGATTTTCTTTTTTTGAGGATCCGAATCCATTCTAGAGGGATTAAATCCACAATCCTGTCTAGACTTTCACTCACATGGTGACAATATTTAAGCCTGATGTGCAGTATTTCAGGGAGAATTCAGTCCCTAGTAGTTTCGTCCCAGATGTCTTTGATTCTTGTTATACCTTTTTTTATCCAACCTTTCCAAGGGCTCTCCATGCAGTGTAGAGTATAGCCTTGGGAGTCCCTAATCCATTAATTGTTGAAGATTGACTGTCGAATGATATTTTCCCACCTGTTGAGGAGTTGCTTGTCAGGCAAGGGCATTTTTCTCCAGGTCTTAAGGATTTTTATCCAAAATGGGTCTTTACTGATGTCTTGTCTTGCCGCTTCCTTATCCGTAAGTTCTTGGGCAGTGTGGATTCTTTGTGTGCTCCTAAGAATTGACCAAGCTCGGTTTTCTAGCCACGTTGCTGGATCTACTTCATTCTCTGTGGGGGGTGCTAGTCTTCTTATTTGCTCCCATGCCAATGCACTCCATAGTGTTTGTGGATTAAAAATAAGCCTCTTAATCCATTGCATGGATAGAGCCATAGTTTGAGTAGAAGGATCGGTGATCCCCAACAACATAAAAATTTTCCGGATCTAAATAATCATTCTATAGTAAAATTATATTCTAAATTTAGACGGGAACTTATCAAATAAAACTGAAAATTTTAGAATTTGACGAACATTGGAATGATAATTTATAAATATGAAGGATTTTTTTTTTATGGAATGTTTTTTCAACTTTCATTTCTCGTGGGAATTTTTTTGTTGAACCCTCCTTTTGACTTGGGTTGTATGATGGAGGTCCAGGCCACTCTGTTTATGACATTCTTGAAGTCATGGTTGCCTCTCCATAGGAAGGCTCTAAGTAGTTATTGGAGAGATTTAGTGGATGGTTCATTCAATTTCCATATTGTCGATTTGTACCAGGTTGAGGCCAGGATGACGTTATTGATTACTAGGGAGCGACCCATAACAGAAGTAGGTTTATTTTTTCATATTTCAAGTTTGGAATGGACACTTTGCATGATTGTTTTATCATTAGCCGTTGGGTTCGCTTCTGCTGATAGAGAGATACAAAGAATTCTAATAGGCGTTTCCTTGAGGATCCATTTAATACGAAGGGTTTCTGGTGGTCTAACCCCTTGATGTTGAATCCACCATCCCAGTGTATTATCTCCCCAATTGACCTTCATATCAGATAATTCACTAAATTTATTTAACAGAGCTTTAATTGCTTTCAAATTCTTTATGGTTGCATCCACCATCAATGAGAGATCATCCGCAAACAGGGAGCAGATAGGAATTGCTTCTTCTGGAATGGATGAGATCTGTATTCTCTTTATGTCCTTGTGTGTACTGAGATGAACTGCTAAGGTTTCCATAATTATGATGAACAGAAAGGGAGTCAGAGGATCACCTTGTCTGACCGATCTCTGTAGGTTAAATGGAGGGGTGGCATTGCCATTTGTGGAGATTCTAGTAGATGTTTTTTGGTGTAGAATTTATATCCATCTCCTGAAATTGTGACCAAAGTTCATTTTTTCAAGACATTTGTCCAAAAAACACCAATCCACATGGTCATATGCTTTTTCAAAGTCAATGAAGATGAAGGCTGCATTGTGTTTAGACTGGCGTGTGATTCTTGAGAGTTCATTTATGAGAAGGATATTATCTTGGATATTTCGTCTTGTAATAAACCCTGTTTGTGCCGGGTGAATAATGTCTGCTATGACATTTGTCATTCTATCTGCAAGTGCTTTGGCTACTAGCTTATAGACAATCGTGAGTAGGGTGATAGATCTGTAATTTCTAATATTAGATTTGTCTCGTTTTTTATATAGTAGAGTTAGGACCCCTTGATTTACAATCTCACCCATGTCCCCAGTCATCTAAACCGTTTGATGAAAATCCATAAGGTCTTGCAAAAGGTGATCCCACATGGATTCCCAAAATTCCTTTGGGAGACCGTCTATCCCTGGTGTTTTTTTTTCCTCCATCAAAATTAAAGCCTTCCAAATTTCTTCCTTAGATAGTGGTAATTCTAGCTTTTTTTTTATAGATTCTGTGGTAGTTTTTTCAGTGGGAGAAAAAAATTATCTATCTCTGTAGATCGCTAAAGTGATATTGTTATGGGAGGTGAACAAATTTTTGTAGAAATCCCTGACTATCCTGGTGTTAGCCGCTGTAGAGGTGACTAGGGGTGCGTTAGCATCGAAAGGATCTGTCAGTGCTTCGATTGTAGTTCTGCCTATTCTCGCTCTGACCATGGAGAAGAATCTCGCATCCATGGCACCCTCCATCTGATGTTTGTTAAGTTTCCCTCTGATCCTTGCACCTTGCCATCTGTATTCTTTGAATTTGAGAAGTTGGTAATCCTGTCCCTTGATCTCCTCAGCCAGGGATTCTAAGTCCCCTGGGGATAATGGATTAGTTTCCTTTTCTTGTAGGACTTGAATTTGTTTATGTAATTCTATTTTTTTTTATGCCTTAAGTTAGCCAGAGCTTTGGAATATTCATTACATTTACGGCCGAGAAAAACCAGCCCGTTGTTGAACCATTCAATGTCAATGTCAAATAGGGTTCTCTGTTACCTCCAGAATAGCCATACATCTTCAAGGTATTTTGTAAAATTAGGATCCTTGAGGTGGGATGTGTTCAATTTGTAGTATCCCTTGCCTTGGTCTGCTTTTTTGTGAAATGAAAAAATTGCAACTGCCAACAAGTGGTCCAAGCCAGGGAAAGATGCGCGTGGTAAGATATTAGCAAACTCAAGAGCTACTTGCAATTCCTCTGATACCATACTTACGGCGCATTGATGCGGTGCGTTGCGCAACGCGCTATGCGCCACCTGGTCGTGCGCGCATCCGTGCGCAGTGCTCGCGCATCGGTGCGCAGTGCGCAGTGCTCTATGCGGTGCGCGTCATTGCAGTGCGCTGGGTCGTGCGCGTGCCGCGCGCATCTGCGCACACGGTGCGCTCGGGAGGGCGTGATTCCCCCCCCCCTTCTAGTTATGCAGTGACGGTCCTCATCAGGCTCCCGTGTGCAAGGCCAGCCACGTGGTTGACAAGTTGGCTTCCCCTGTTCCCGTGTGTCACAAGGACCCGCTTGCACGCAGCCAAAAGGCAGAGAGGTACGGAAAAGGAGCAAAAAACCAAACCTCACACTGCTCACAGGGAAGAATGGCACATTTCACAGCTGATGCAACTGCCGCAAAGCAAAAAAGTTGAAAGTTGAAAGTTGAAAGTTGAAAGTTGAAACAAGTTCAAATAACACATCCCACAGACCAACATTTTTTTTTTCTTGTTTTTTTTTTTTCCCTTTTTTTTTTTTTTTTTTTTTTTTTCTAGCAGGATGCGGAACTCACCTGTGAGTCGTGTTGCATGTGCAATGGTGGCAGCAATGTCCACAGTTTCCACACACAGCCATCACGAGAGGAAAAAACAAGAGACACGACAATCAGATCACAGCTAATCACATCACGACCTTTCGACACACACATTTTGCAGCAAGAAACTGAACTTACAAAAGTTCAAAAACGAATTATAAAAAACACAGACTGAAAAACTTCCAAAACAGTGGGAAAAACTCAAAATTTCTGAAATCTTCATCAGAATTTAGATTGTTAAAAGTTTGGTCTTTCATAAGCAGGCAACAATGTGAACACTTCTTTGACTGCTCGTCCACTGGACACTCGTCTGTATCTACGTGATGTGCGGATTGTGCGGTCTACTGTGCCTCCTCCCCTGACTCGTGTTCCCCAGGAGACTCCTCCTGCGACTGTCTGTCCTCGGAAGCCTCCTCCGATGATGACGAGGATGACGAGGATGATGATGATTGGGCTCTTTCTTCGGAGGAAGATGACGATGAAGATGATTGCAGATTGTCATCGTCGTCCTCCATGACCCGGCGCGCACGCTTCCTCTTCGGCCTTGCATCTGCTGCACCGGATCCTTTTGCTGCCTTGGCTGCAACTCTTCGTCTTTTGCGGCCTTCTTCACAACCTTCGTTGCAGCATTCGCAGCCTTCGTTGCAGGTGAAAGAGGAGGCCGCCCCCTCTTCCTTTTCAATGGCGCGACTTCATTGCCTCCTTCCTTACTCTTCCGCTTGCTCGTTGACCCTGCTTCACCGGGCTCGAGTGTTGCTGCCTTTCGTTTTCGTTGTCGATGCCCTGACGCCTCCTCTCTCCCGTGCACCCAATCGCCCGCTTGTCGTGCGCTCATGGCACGGTCACGGCCCTCCAGCGTGTAAACGAATGCAGGTTCGGGCTCCTGGAGGCCCGACTTCCGGCGCAGATCACGGACTCGGTGTTTCCCCGGCTTCGTGTTCGCATGCCAGGTGCGTTGCACTGAGCCGAGCAGGGCGATGTCATCCTCCTCGTCCGCAAGGTCGATCTCCGCGTCGTTCTTTTGCCATGTGCGCACCAAAGGGCCATCTTCATCATCTTCATCTGCGACCTCCGCCGCGGCTGCATCAACCGCTCTTCCATCAATGACCTGCCTAGTCCAATCTTCGTACCATTCCTCCACCTCAGTCTTCGCAAGGTCATTGTCCTTCCAAGGAATGTTGTTGTCCTCCGTCTCTTCGCGCTCCCGCCTCGTGGTCAAATGGATGTTCCAATTGCTGTAAACGAGCTTCGCCAGTCTCTCGGGCAGGAGTTTGGTGCGCCGTTATCCGTATATTAGCTGGTGCAAGCTCCAGTTGCGCTCGCACGCGGCCAAAGAGCTCACCTGGCCGAGAAGCTTGATGGCTTGCGGTTGGAGAAGGTCCAATGATCCCCCGAACGCCTCCCACCAAAGTGCTGGTGTTTGCAGCTTGGCCTGCTCCTTTGCGTTTTGCGTCTCGAAAGTGCCCAATCTGCGGACCCAATAATCGACTTGCCTACTGATTTGATTCAGTAGCTCTGGTGGCGCCCAAGAATAGAGCCAGATGTTGAATCCCTCGCGGATCTCCGTATCCCGCATGGTCGGCGACCGATACTCCGGATCGAGAAAGGCTGCAGCGCAATGCAACTCGGATGTCAAGAACACCCACCGGTCCACGAGAATGTTCTCCACCGCTATCTTCTCGTCCTCCGCCAAACAGTCGAGGATCCGCATCTGTGCGACGATCTCGTCCATGCCGAAGTACACTTTGTTGACAGTCGCTCTGCGACTGTCCACCAAACACAGCAACTTGACCACGGGCTCCATGACAGCGATTGCTCTGTCAACCTCGTCCCGAAAGCCATTTTCCACGATGGTGCGCGTCACAGCGTTGAATGCCTCCACCTGCTCAACCCTCACCAACTTCTCAACCCATGCTACATTCCCGACGCACAGCTCAAGTGAAGTCCTCCCTCTCTTTAGCGACTCCAGCATTTCGAAGTTCGTTGCGAACCTCGTGACGGCTGGGCGTTTGCGATTCTGTTGAACATCGCGCTGACCTTGTCAATGTTGGGCACAAACTTGCCAACTCGGTTGCCCTTGTCGACGACTTCCTTCATGATTCATCCAGTCCATTCGCTTGTATATATCTTCCAGCGCTAGATCCAACGCATGGGCTGTGCAGCCGACACTGAAAATCCCGGGGTACTTCGCCTCCACCATCTTCCCGGCCTTCGAACAGACCCTCGCATTGTCCATCACGACGCCGACGATGGACTGCGGACCGATCTCCTCGATGACTCCCTCCAACAGCTTGAAGTAGGTCGTTAAATCCTTCTCCTTCCCTTCCATGCACACGGACTTCCAAAACACAGTGCCAACCGGGGAGGAAACCATCACGTTGAGATGTGGTTTGTTCCTCCTATCCGACCACCCGTCCATCTGCAGCATGCAGCCCGTCCTCTCCCATTTCCTCACAAGATTCATCATGTCGTCCCCAACAAGTTTGCGCTGCCCGTCCAACCGCTTTGTCCTCATCTCGTCCCTCTTGGACGGTCACCAACTAGGATGACACTTCTTAACTGCATCGATGAGCTGAAGGAAGTAGTAGTTCTCGACCAAGCTGAAGGGTTGGTTCGTGCAGATCAGGAAACGGTCCAGGTGTCTGCTGGTCTGCTCATTCTGGGTGATGATGCTGTCCGCTTCCTCGATCAGGGTTTGCCTCGTCGGTCGTCCGCCCAACGGTGCAGTGTTCCCGGATGTCGCGGGTGTGCTTGACTCACCAACCGCCGGAACAGGGGGCCTGCTCGTCGTCGGGGATGGGACGACCAAGCTGCTCCGAGAGGGAGATCTGCTTGGACCCGCACCCTCGCTTCCGTTCCCTTCGATAAGGGATTCCGCCTGCATCGTTCCCATTCGAGTCCCCTCTATCCTCCTCAACCTCTCATCTGCGTCCAACGAGCGGGTGACACGCTCAATACTACACTTGCCCTTCAAGAAGTGGTCCCTAAGGTTGGTGGTCGACCCAACGAACCGGGTCTCGCAGTAGTTGCAGACATAGTGCTTATGCCCCTTGCTATTGTTTTTCCCGGCGGACCGTTGTCGGTGAAGTGCTTCTTGAGCTGCTCGATCAACACCTTCGTGAGAGACATCTTTCCCTGCGCACATGTAGTCCATAAACAGCCCCAGCGTCAGCCCCTCGGAGCACCCCCGTTTCAACCTCCCCCCCCCCCCCCCCCCCCCCCCCCCCCCCCCCCCCCCCCCCCCC